GACAAATTTTTTATTTATTCCGACTTTTCAATTATCTGACCAACCCCAGTCCCCAATTGGGTCGGATAATCGAGGCTCTACTGTAGTTGGATTCACCTAGTTTGTACTGATTCAGCAGAACCACTTCCTAAAATATTTATAGTTAAAATTGTATTTGTATGAGTAATATTTGTTTAGGCAATTTATTGCAAATCTTCATTTGTGTAAGACTGCTAACTTTTTACAGTTCAATGAGAGAGGAGTGAAATGAAAGAGAAAAATTAGGCAATAGATCAATAAGTGTGAGTGAGAACTCATCACTACTGTTGCAATTTATTTGTAGCCATCTATCACAATCAAGCATTGATGTTTTCTGGTCAACTGTTGGGTACAAGTGATACAAATACCTGTACTGTACTCTAGGCACAAGTATCTGTACTTCTGAAATCTGGGAAATGCAGGACAATAAATATATTTCTGAGACAATTTTGCATAACAATATTAAGGCATTGATTTCTATTGCTGGGTAGCTCCAGATAAGAGGGTAAGAAGTAACTACACAGCCAACAATCCTTGGATAAAAGCAAAGCAAACTATTAAAGAATATGCTAATCAAAAGGCAATATGAAAATATCTGAATTATAAGTTTTATTGTTACTTTTTATCAGGGATATTTTTATAATCTTTTTGTTATATTAAGAAATATTTTAACCAGTTATTGCATGACATTGATTTGTTCCGATTACTCACACAAAAAGTCTAGTTGTCTTCAATATTTGTTTTAAGATATTATATTGTGTGTTTTGGTTTATTTTTACTAGTGTTGTTATCATTTTGTGTATTTTTTAATGTTCAGGATGCATTGGTATAAAAAAGTACTGTAAGGCCTAAATACTCAGCTTAAAATTGTTTTTCATCAGAAAAAAATAGAAATGGCAGCACCAGCAATTGAATCATTCTGTAATTTTTAAACAAGTGGTTGAAGCCCTCTTCTAGTCTATACTAATATTTGTAATGTTTGTAAGTTTGTATGTAGGGGTAATCTCCAAAACTACCATCCAATTTCAAAAATTCTTTCACCAATATTTAGAATGGAACTTCAGGGTGGACATAGGCTGTATATTATTCTGTTAAACATTCATATAAATTAAAAGATATCATCTAGGGTTAAAGCTTTTATGTCCAATAGATGGCGCTACGAGTATGACGACCTAAGTTTGCTTTTCTGTGAGGATGAACTAAAGCAGATCATCTTCTATATATCTATATAAATGAAAATGTAATGTTCATTTGTTCCTACTGATTCCTTTCAAATTTTGACACAATGCTGCATTTGAATACGCTCATGTTTTTATATAATATACATGTTGAAATTTCCCCCACTGGGGGGAGATGGACAGGATGAAGGCTTACTGTGAAGAACTTGGCCTCTATTATACTACTTTAGTTGTGGGTTTTTTGCGTTTTTGATTGCGTTTTAATAGGGTACGTCGAAAATTCCCCCCACGGGGGGAAGTGTCATACATTTATAATAGATACATTTTGAGCCACAACAACGCATGGCGGGGTCTGCTAGTAAACTTATAAATAAATATTGTTTTTAAACATAAAACAATCACTAGTTCAGTGAACTGGTTGTTGAATTATTTGAATCCCACCACTGGTTTGACCTGTTGATATCCTAAATATTTGTAGACTTTGCTTTCATTCATGGATTCAATTATGTCTTTATTTCTGAGTACAAAATCATCTTCCTTCCAGATTGCTGTTTCTATATGATATTCTGAATTATCTAGGCCAAAATTCAGTTGAATGTCAGTGGAGTAAATGTAAAATCTAATAGTTGATGTAACTGTATTTGTATGAATGTATAGAGTTTTATGTCATCCATGAACTTTACATATGTATTTTGTTATGTTTCACATTGTATCCATATTTGATATTTAATCTATTGGACAATGTGTTCAAGGCCAGACAAAAGAAAAGTGGACTCAATGAATCTCCCTAGAAAATGCTTCACTTTGTGTTTTTGGTTTGTTTTGATATATCAATATGTGTTGAAAAGTTTATACCAACTGTGTGTTCTTTATATTGCATGTTGGATGTTCTGTGTGCTTATTTCAACACAGGACTTGAATGATGTCTCGTCATGTTTTCTTCTTCCTCTTTGATCCAGCTAGCTTCATTTTTGTATGGGACTGGATTGGACAAATGAGCAGACCAAGATGTCTGTGAGTTTTTTTTCTGTTGGCACAATATTGTGTTTTGATGGTGTGATGTGATATATAGTTATCTGTAAAAAATATCTCATTGTTTGTGAATAATTTATTTTCTTGTTTTAAATTTTTTATGCAAATTAATATTGTTTTATATGTTGTTATTTTATCATAATTAAGATATTTCTTTTAATTTTTTAGACAAGATAATATTCTTGAACAGTTTGAACAAAGACAAAAGCAAATGGAACAAGAAAATGCTAAGAGGAAATCACTTTTGACTAAAGCTATTGCTGATAGGTAATCCTTTCTGTTTTAATCTTGTTAATTTGCATGTATTTTTCTTATTTAATGATAGCTCTGAGATGATAAATTTATCACAAATGTATGTAAAACTTTATAGTAATGTTATTTTATAGTTTTATTTAAATATTGACCATATAATTTATATATTTATTTTACAATGAAAATAGAAGATATATGTTAAAAATTTCAATTCTCTTGTTAATCTTCTTACCATATTTTTTTAATTTTAAAGTATCTTTGATTGTATGATGCTAATTTGAGTAAACTGTATTAGTATATTACATAATGTACTGTATATGTATTTATTAATTGAATTAATAGCTAAACATTTTAATAAACTTTAGCCTCTATCCATCAGAACTTAAATCATAAAAGCCATTTAGAGGTATACATTAATTAAGACATTTTGATTAGCTTAGATGTAAACATCGATTATGGTAAGTTAGATTCTGCTTCATTTTGCTCTCTTGGTGAGACAATAAAATTTTATTTTGGACTTTAAAGTATGACACCATAATTTATAAACATAGCATATGTTCTCAGGATTATTAAGAATCTTCATTAGCATTTGGAAAGAGTTGTTTTTAAACTTTTTTTAGACTGTTTTATAGTAGGCAGAGAAACTTACCTTCCTATGTAAATATAGAAATCATCTTTGAATTCTTTTCTTGATTAAACACATTTTTTAGATATTTTCATTTCATGTCAGATCAAATCTTCAAATTTAGAATGTGGAACATTGTTTAATTCCTTTCTAATTAATTAAATTAATCAATTTAAGTAGTTATCTTTCAAATAACAACACAAATTTTCACATTGCCTTTAATTTTGTCTTACCTTTAACATGCAAATTAAGAAATCCTCTATTTAGAGTATATGAATAAATTGAAGATTCTCTAAATTTTTATGTTATTTTGTAAAATAAAACGTTTATCTTTAATTCATTCAATAATAAGCAGACAAAATTAAAAGTTTGTGTAACATAAAGCCTTCTGTTATATTTTTGGTTTTCAGAAAAAAACGAACTGAAGCAGAAGCTCAGAAATTAATTAAAATTCAGAAAGAATTAAACCATTTGGATTCACTTTTAAGTGTTGATGTTTCTATTTTAAGAAATCAAATTGAAATAGCAAGTATGGAATTTACTGAAGCTCAGTAAGTAAAGTAGTTAAATTTTTATTCCTGATATTTTTTATTATTGCTTCTTTTATTGGTTTATTTAAAGTTTCTATGATTTTTTATTAAAGCCAAAGAAACTTTTCTTCCTCTTCAGAGTAACCAAATTAAATAAAAGTTTAAATACTGGTTATTTACAGGTTATATTTATCAAAATCTTCAAACCTGTTACCGGTGTGTTCTCCCACGATGACCAAAAAAATAAATAAATAAATAGTTCGTTACTAACGTTTTCGAACTGAAAAAAATTCACAGATACTGCAAGCTCACGCAGGTTGATCGACAAATTCCATTGTTACCAAAATCCTGCCCAAGGCCTCTCCCAAGGTGAAGACCGACCTGAGAAAGATAAAATCATTCCGGTCACTTATAACTCTTATCTCATGTCACTTTATATCAAGATATCTAAAAAGAGCTGTATTCGCATCACTTACAGAAGATGTGCATCTGTATTTAATGTCCTATGTAACGGAAAGGATGAGCCTGACCAGGAAAGACTTCCCGGTATATACAACGTCCCGATTAAAGATCACAGATGCAATAGAAACCTAGTCTATGTAGGCTCTACGAAACACTCCTTAGGGGTTAGATTGAAAGAACACGCAGCTGATATGCAGAATAAAAGGACCACCAATGCTCTGACCATTTACGCATCAGATCCAAACATAGAGCCGGATTTTAATCAGGCCAGAATTATCTGCACCATACAGCACACACAATACTTTAGGTGGTTAGAGGCTGCCAGCATATACATAGCTAGCCTTAGCAGTAATAACTGCATCAATCAAAAAGAAGAAATAACTCTATCAGTAGTGTGGCAGGTGCTTATGAACAAAAATCTATGATTACCATCAATCACTTGAGTGCACATGCCTAAGAAGACGTAATCGGGAAGCACATCTTCGAATTTCAAATTTTGTTTTCTTCGATTGGCATTCCATCAGAAATTCAACATTACCTGAAGAAGAACTTTTTTTTGGTTCAAAAACGTTAGTAATGAACTATTTATTTATTTATTTTTTGTTATGGGAGAACTGGTAACAGGTTTGAAGATTTTGTTAATACATTCCAGTGTTGAGTTAGTGATGGCTATATTTATGCTAATTAGTTTGAAAATAACCTTATGTTTAATAATAGAGTTGATATTTAATTATATTTTATGTGTACACAGGTAAATTTTAATTGTAGAATATGTAAATTATTAAACTATTTTTTTACATTATTCAAAATTGATAAAAATTTTATAAAAGTGACAATGGCAAAAATTTCTTAATAAATATGGACTTTTGAAATTATTTTTACTAAAAATAAATAATATATATTATACTTTCTTTAAAAAAATTTTGCACAATATGCTGATATGCATGGAAAATGAAATAATTATTATGAAAGATAAATCCAATGAGAATTGGTGATTTTTATAATTTACTTCAGTTTTGTAAATCATATAGTTAGCAAATTTTAAATCATACTTCATAGTAAAGCAATGTCTACAGTCATGACTTTGACTTTTGAATATTTTTTTTCTATTTTGTCTATATTTTTCTATTTTATCAGTCATTACAATCATTACATTTTATCATCAAACACTTACTTTAAATCATTTGATTTAAAGTAAGTGTTTAGTAGAATTTGTGTAATATGTCAATATTACACAAAAATCCAAAAAATTCCACGTATCAGGCCATCTAAATTGGATTTTGAATGTTTTTTTATAATTGAATGTTTTTTGGTAGACTAATATTTTCAGTTATCATAGTAGCGAGGTTTCAGCCAACATTTTCAATGCGATGTCGGATGTTCAGCACTGCGTTCTTGTAAGCCTAGAAGTTTGACAATGGCATTTGAAATGTCAGTGGAATCATGCTCGATGTTCAAAATGCCATTGTCAAACTTCTAGGCTTACAGGAAGGCAGCACTGAATGTCCGATGAACACATTTTTGCATTGAAAACTTCAGCCACAACCTCACTATTGTTAACCAGTTTTTGTATACAGTTAAAAAATTTATTATGTATAATTTTCTCACATTGATTAAACACCAGCTGTTAGCAGTAAAGGTTACTATTAAACAACTTCTTGCCCAATTATATTTATTATATATATATATATATATAATATTACATTGNATATCTGATCATTGTATGTAAGTGTTAATTATGTGTAATTGTGGTTATATCTACCTGTGATGGTATCAGTACTTGAAAATTGGTCAGGTAATTAGAACTTTAAATATAAATTATTTAAATAATGTATTTTAAATAAATATTTTGAAATTTTTATTTATATTTTGTAATAATACAATTCAATGATAATAAATTGAAGGAAAGTCCTTCAATTTATTTATATATTGTTCCATTCAATTTATTTATATATTATTAATTTATTTATTTCAAATAAATAAATATAACAAATGTTAGGGAAAACTAAAAACAATAAAATTGAAAAAATAAATAAATTAGACTGAACCTGAAATAAACTTATGAGTCAGAACATATGGTTGTTATTTTTGTATTAATTTACTAAGGGATATAAATTATCTTCCAGGATATATCTGGCTAAATTTATTACAATTTTATGTGAGGATGTAAAATTAATTTTATATAGATCAGTAATTCCAAAACTACTGTGATTTACAAACTCCTTAAAAAGTAAAAAACTTTTTGAAAATACTATAAATAGAGTAAAACCTCTAGTTGCAACCATTTCTGTAATGAGACTTATCTCTACAAAAGAGCAAATTGCTCTTTTGTAGAGATAAGTCTCATTACAGAATTAAACATGTACCTTTTAAAAAAGTTAAATCTCACTATTATGACCATAAATCAAGGAAACACTCTGACCATAATCATTTTCCACTTACTATTGTGTTTTACAATACAATAATAAAATGGAATCCTTAAACTGATAAGTGGAAAGTGATCATGGTCAGAGTGTTTCCTTGATTTATGGTCATAATAGTGAGATTTAACTTTAAAGCACTAATTCTTAAAGATACAGCAACCAATTAACAATTACTTTTATCCATTCTTAAAATATGATTTTTCTAATTGTGTTGTAATATGAGACTTAATTAAAGCTACAGATAAGTAAGGGGATGATTTCATTATTCTTAAAATACATTTTTTCATTCCTTTGAAAAAGACCACATTTTCTGGAAAGGAAAGTGATTTTCTTAGAGATATTTTACTGTATATAGACATGGGTGTATGCAGTATGTTGATGTATGAATGGTAATGAGGATTAAACATGATCTATGAGAAACAACTCATGCAGTACATACAAATCATGTTGAAAATCAGTAGTGAGTTAATAAGAAAACTAGTTGTGATTATATTGTCTTAAAATATACTGACAGAATCACAAATTATTATAAATATATGTTTTGCATACCCTCTGGAATTTTGTAACAGTTTAATATTATTTGGTATAGGGTGACTAATTTATATCAGAATTGAGGTACAAATTTCAATTATAAGACTTGATGGAAAATGTTTTTTCTATTTACAAAACTGATTCATTAGAGATTTTTCAGGAATGAAGTATATCCATGAATCAGAGTCTTACTATATTTAAATCTGTAATAATCATAAATTATATAATAAAAAGATGAAAATATTTATTGAAATATTAATTTAAATGTAATCATTTATGTAATTATTATGTAATCAATTATTTTACTTTATAATTAAGTAATATAATTAATTTGTTGGCAACTTGTTCAGAATTTGAACTTTTCATAAATTTGCTAATAATTTTATTACAGTAGTTCTTAATTGTTTAGAGATTTTTTTTTCCTTCTAGAAAAAGATACCAGAAAGCAGAGAAAGAATTTGTTGTAGCTAAACTTGAATTATTTCAAAAGATGCAGCAAAAGGAGAAATTAACTGAACATCTTTGTACTATTATAGAACAGAATGAAGCACGCAAAGCACAGAAATTAGTTGAATTAATGCAACAATTAGAGATGGATTCTTTGATTGAAACAAATATTAATGGAGTGGGGAATGTGAGTATTTGTAATTTTTAAATTTGAAGTTTTTAATTTTTAGTATTAACATGATTATAATAAAATCAAATTTTATCACAATTGCTGATGATGATGAATTAGCAACCAGTTAGATATAATTTTTCTGTAGATTAAATTGTCAGAAATACTATTATATCAGGTCAGTTACCAAAGTATAAATGAATTCAAGAGAAACAGAATGAATAGAATTCACTTTTATTAGTCTATTAATAAAATTAAATTGATTTCCTATTGAATATTAATCTTTTAGAAATTTATTAGTTAATTTTTGTAATTAATCTATTAATTACATAATGATATATTAAAACTTTACATCTGTTACAATTACAATATTGTTTCTCTTTGCAACATTGATTCGTTGGTGGTTAGCAAACATTAAAAACATTTAAAATTTTTTTGGATACATTAATCACATATATTTAAATATTTGACAGTAATAGAGAAATATCATTAAAAAATAATACTTTCAGAAGTTAGAAGTAACTTTTAATGTATAAAAGTTTTTGTTTTTACTTCTAGTGCTGTATAATATATGTTTGTATCATGACACAAGACAAAAATAAATATTTTTCATGAAGTTTTCATTTTTGATAAATATTTAGAAGCATAATCTGATCTTCATTACATGTTACTGAATTTTATATTTTGCCACTGATTTTTCCCATTGTTGTATTTTTGATGCATATTAAGTTGACAGTAATTATAACCTTAGTCAGTTAATAAGTTAATTATTTATTAGTATATCTTTCTTTAATATGCTGTTTTAAGTTAAACTCTGTTATTAGAATTAACCTACAGTTGTCCCTCTATAGTCCGACGTTTTTTAATCCGACATGCTCAGTAGTCCGACGCACCTCCCGTCAAGGTACCCGTCCCCGTTACGTGTCTGCTTGCACAGAAGCATGTCGCGATGTGAATCTCCCCATCCAATTCTTACTCGATGACACACATTTCGTGTGTTTTATGTGAGCAGTTCTGTTCGAACAGTTGGAGTAGAGAATATTGTAAGTTACTGCTAGCAAAACAATGCGAAATATGTAATTATTTTCGGTA